ATTACAGGCTTGAGCCACCGCGCCCGGCAATTTTTTTTATTTTTAGTAGAGATGGGGTTTCTCCACGTTGGTCAGGCCAGTCTCAAACTCCCGACCTCAGATGATCCACCCGCCTTCGCCTCCCAAAATGCTGGGATCACAGGCGTGAGCCACTGTGCCCAACTTCCATTTTTTTTTTTTGAGGCAGTCTTGCTCTGTCCCTCAGGCAGGAGTGCAGTGGTACAACCTCGGTTCACTGCAACCTCCACCTCCCAGGTTCAAGTGATTCTCCTGCCTGTCTCCTGAGTAGCTGGGATTATAGGCGTGCACCACTACGCCCAGCTAAATTTTTGCATTTTTGGCAGAGACAAGGTTTCACCATGTTGTCCAAGGTGGTCTCAAACTCCTGACCTCAAGCAATCCGCCTGCCTCTGCTTCCCAAAGTGTGGAGATTGCAGGTGTGAGCCACTTTGCCCAGCCCCACTTTAATCATTTTTAACTGTACATTTCTGTAGTAGTTAAGTGCATTCACATTGTACTACAACATACAGTCTCCTACAATCTCTAGAACTTCCAATCTTGGGAACTTTTTCACCTTACTAAAACAAAATATATCCATTAAACAGTAACTCTCCATTTCCTTTCTCCCCCCAGCTCCTGGGGGGAGAATGTGACCTCATATAAGTGGAGAGATACAATGTTTGTCCTTCCCGACATTTAGTATAGTCTCCAAGGTTCATCAATGTTGCAGCATGTGTCATGTTAATTCCCCCTTTTTTTTTTTGAGACTGAGTCACCCAGGCTGGAGTGCAATGGCACCGATTTCGGCTCACTGCAACCTCTGCCTCCCAGCTTCAAGTGATTCTCCTGCCCCAGCCTTCTGAGTAGCTTGGATTACAAGTGCCTGCCAATACATCCAGCTAACTTTTATATTTTTCGTAAAGACGGGGTTTCGCCATGTTGGCCAGGCTGGCCTCCAACTCCTGGTCTCAGGTGATCCCCCTACATCAGCCTCCCAAAGTGCTGGGATTACAGGCATGAGCCACCATGTCTGGCCCCTTCTCTTCTAAGGCTGAATAATATCCCATTGTATCTATAGAGCACATTTTAAAAAAAATCCATTCATCCAAGGACACTTGGGTTGTTTCCACCTTTCAGCTATTGTGAATAAGAATGTGGAAATATTTGTTTGAGCCTACTCTCAATACTTCTGGGTATATATCTAGAAGTGAAATTGCTAGATTATATAGTAATTCTATGTTTAATTTCTTGAGAAAAGAACTGGGTTTTCTCGAAACCGGGTCTCATTCTGTCACCCAGGCTGGAGTACAGGGGCATGATCATAGCCTTAACCTCCTGAGCTCAGGTGATCCTCCCCTTCAGCTTCCTGAGTAGCTAGGACTACAGGATGAGCCAGTATGCCTGGTTATCTTTTTATATATATACTTTTTTACCATGTTGCCTAGGCTAGTCTGAAACTCTTGGGCTCAGGTGATCTACCCACCTTAACCTGCCAAAGTTCTGGGATTACAGGCATAAGCCACCATGCCCGGCCTAGATGATGGACATTTATGTTGTTTCCACTTTTTGATTAGTATAAATAATGCTTCTATGAACATTTGTGTACAGATTTTTGTGTGCACGTTTTCATTTCTCTTGGGTATATATCTAGGAGTAGAATTGCTCCATCATATAGTACTCTATGCTTACTTAGCCTTTTGAAGAACTGCCAGATGTTTTCCACAGTGGCTGTACCAATTTACATTTCTACCAGCAGCATATGAGGTTTCCAACTTTTCCACATCCTCTTCAATACTTGTTATCTTTTTTATTATAGCAATCCCAGTGGGTAGTGGTATAAAGTGATATCTCATAGTAGTATCCCTGATGGGTAATGATGTTGAGCATCTTTTCTTTCTCTTTTTTTTTTTGAGATGGAGTCTTGCTCTGTCACCCATGCTGGAGTGCAGTGGCGCCGTATCAGGTTGAGCATCTTTTCATACGTTTACTGGCCATCCAATTAGTTTTAATAGAAGCAACCAGATCAAACTTTCCTTATGTGTAATTTATGTGAAATACCTTACTGTGTTATATGTAAGAGTCAAGCAGAAAGTTAATTTTTATTTTATTTTTTATTTTTTTTAAGACAGGGTTTCACCATGTTGGTCAGGCTGGTCTTGAACTCCCGACCTCAGGTGATCCGCCTGCCTTGGCCTCCAAAGTGCTTGGATTACAGGCGTGAGCCGGGCCGTTAATTTTTTTTTTTTAATTTTAATTTTTTTAAAATAGAATTTCCCTGTGTTACCTAGGCTGGTCTCGAATGCCTGGGGTCAAGGGATCCTCTTGCCTCAGCCTTCCAAAAGTGCTAGGATCATAGGCGTCAGCCACCATGCCCTGCTGAGAAGTTTACTTTTAAAAGACAACCCTTTGGCCGGGCGCGGTGGCTCACACCTGTAATCCCAGCACTTTGGGAGGCCAAGGTGGGCAGATCATGAGGTCAGGAGATCAAGACCATCCTGGCTTTGGTGAAACCCCATCTCTACTAAAATATAAAAAAATTAGCCGGGCATGGTGGTGCGTGCCTGTAGTCCCAGCTACTCAGGAGGGTGAGGCAGGGGAATCGCTTGAATCCAGGACACAGAGGTGCAGTAAGCTGAGATCGTGCCACTGCACTTGTCTGGCGAAAGAGCAAGACTCTGTCTCAAAATAACAACAACAACAACAACAACAACAACCACTTGAGGCCAGGCATGGTACCTCAATCCTGTAATCCCAACACTTTGGGAAGCTGAGATGAGTGGCACGTGTGAACCCAGGAGTTCTAGACCAACCTGGGCAACATGGCAAAATCTATCTCTACAAAAAATACAAAAATCACCCAGGCATGGGCCAGGTGCGGTGGCTCACACCTGTAATCCCAGCATTTTGGGAGGCTCAGGCAGGTAGATCACCTGAGGTCAGGAGTTCGAGACCAGCCTGGCCAACACGATGAAACCCTGTCTCTACTAAAAATGCAAAAAAAATTAGCTGGGTGTGGTGGCATGCACTTTTAATCCCAGTTACTCTGAAGGCTGAGGCAGGGGAATCACTTGAACCCAGGAGATGAAGGTTGCATTGAGCTGAGATCATGCCACTGCACTCCAGCCTAGGTGATAGAGCAAGACCCTGTCTAAAAAAAAAAAAAAAAAAAAAAAGAAACTACTATGTATTAGATACATTTGAGGATACAAATTATTTTAAAGAACAGTCTGTTATTGAAGAGTACAAAATCCAGCTTCCCTACTGTTTAGCAGTGCATGTTGGGATGTTCAGTTTTTTTCTCTGAGCCTCAGTTTCCATCTGTAAAATGGGATAATGATACCTATTTCCAGTGGAAGTAGTAAGGATTAGGCAAGATTATTTACGGGCCAGGCACAATGGTTCATGCCTATAATTCCAGCACTTTGGGAGGCCAAGATGGGAGGATTGCTTGAGCCCAGGAGTTTGAGATCAGCCTGGGCACTATAACAAGGCCCCATCACTACAAAAAATTAAAAAATTAAAAATTAGCCTCACATGGTGGCATGCACCTGTAGTCCCAACTACTTGTAAGGCCAAAGCAGGATTGCTTGGGCCCAGGAGTTCAAGGCTGGCACTGAGCTATGATCATGCCACTGTATTTCAGCCTGGTAACACAGTGAGACCCTGTCTCAAAAAAATAAAATAGGTTATTTACATAAAATGCTCAGCACTGGCCGGGCGCGGTGGCTCACACCTATAACCCAGTACTTTGGGAGGTCGAGGCGGGTGGATCACGAGGTCAAGAGATCGAGACCATCCTGGTCAACAAGGTGAAACCCCGTTTCTACTAAAAATACAAAAATTAGCTGGGCATGGTGACACATGCCTGTAGTCCCAGCTACTCGGGAGGCTAAGGCAGGAGAATTGCTTGAACCCAGGAGGTGGAGGTTGCAGTGAGCTGAGATCGTGCCATTGCACTCCAGTCTGGGTAACAACAGAGAAACTCCGCCTCAAAAAGAAAATCTTAAAAATGCTCAGCACTGTGCATGACATATATTGGGCCCACAGTAAATACTCATTGATGGGACTTCCCTTAGCATGGAAAGATTGTCAGCACCAAGTATTCCCTGACCATTGCAACGTTTCCCTTTTCTAACTTCAGAGTGACTTACACAATGGTCCCTTGCATGCAAGAAGTCAAAGAGCTCCTCCGTGCAATCCTCTTCTGTTTGTGATCGAGAGGATACACGCTCATCACAGAGCTCTAGTCGCTCCCGGGCCTTTACACATTTCTCCAGCCGCTCGCATTGCTCTCTCACTGTTGTTAGGGGATCCTGATGTAGAAACAGAAAAAGAACAAAATGGGGGCTTTTAGGAGAGACCCACCAAACACAGATGCTTTGATTAATACAACCACCAAACCAAGGTGCTGCCTCTGAATTACCGTGCAGAAGGCCAGCTGGCAGAGCCACACTGCCGCCAGAAATGGCAGAATGCGGTCTCCCATTCAATTCTGATGCTAAGTAGTAGGGAAAAGTTTCACATTCCTGCCTTCCAAGGTTGCCAGTATGCACTGAAAGCCTCAGTCCTATCTGAAAAACAAGGTGGTAAAGGAAACCTGGCCAAACTTGAAGTAGATCTACAGGAGGCCTTACTTGTTAACACAACATTTTGGAATATGTCACGTCTGAAATTTCAAATCCCCTTGTCTGAGAACCAGGCCCATGCACCCCAGCTGCCCAGCTAGAAAGGCAATACTAACATAGAGAAGGACTATCTAACAAAGGTTCCTTCAGAGTCCTTTATTAAACCACAAATAGCAGACGACTGAGTGCCAGGCCCTCAAGATGCTGTCTGCTCCCTGGTACCACAACTGAAGAAGCCCCAAACCCAGGATAGACTCAGCTTCCAAGGCTCACACCCCAAACACTTGACTGCACAGGAAGTATCAAAGCTTATTCCACCCCCATTCTCTATAAGGTTTCAAGTAAAGACTCCTTAAAATGCACTTAGTTTCATGAAGCTCAAACTCTGCTTTTACTGAGATGTTTCCAAACCTGAGACAGTTCTTACCACTAATTCCTCCTCTTCCTCTTCCTCCTACAAAAGGAAAACAAAAATTAATGTTAGCAGCAATTTTACAACATATTTGTTCCCAATCATAGTGACGTAATTACTGATGATAGACACAGTTGTATTAACAATGTTATTTTATTTTCTGTGTTTTATGATGTTTTCATATTTTAGAGGCCTTGCTAATCCTGGAGCTAATTCTGCTCTTTCAGGGATAGCTAATTTTTAGAGACAGCAAACTTGCCTATGAGCACACCTTTCATATGCAACCCAACTATCCAAAGTGCTTGTAGCCAACTGCCTTCTTTATCTTTTTGTTTTGTTTTGTTTAAGAGACAGGGTCTTGTTCTGTCACCCAGGCTGTAGTGCAGTGGTATGATCATAGCTCACTGCGGCCACAAACTCCTGGGCTCAAGTGATCCTCCTGCCTCAGCCTAGGACAATAGTGGCTAGGACTATTGGCACACACTGCATGCCCGGCTAATTATTTTTTCTTTTTTTTTTTCATTCAAACACTGTTCAGATTTCTTTTCTTTTCTTTTTTTAGTAGACACAGGGTCTCATTATATTGCCCAGGTTGGTCTCAAACTCCTGGGCTCAATCAATCCTCTTACCTCGGCCTTCCAAAGTGGTGAGAATATAGGCATTAGCCACTCGGCCTGGCCCCACCTTCCTTTAACTAAGTTTCGTACACTAAGCTCCTGATTCCCGTTCTATAAATCAACCCAAGGACAAATATAGGACAACTAGGAACCAGCCATTAAGCCAGAGCCCAACAAATTACTCAAACTATCCAATCCTAAATTTGAGCAAGTATATCTAACCCTGCCCACCAATTCCTTCCCATAGAAACCAAGGTGCTCAGCCATGCTTCCTTCCCCTCACACCTTCTGCCTTCTGACTAGTTCCGACTCTGACACTTCCCCATATAGCCTTGCATTTTTTGTGTGTGGCATGATGCTCTCTTTCAGGAACTTTAAGTAATAATAAACCAGGGTGGCCAACATGGTGAAACCCCGTCTCTACTAAAATATAAAAAAAAAGGTAGCCGGCCGAGGTGGAAGGCGCCTCTAGTCCCAGCTCCTCAGGAGGCTGAGGCAGAATAGCTTGAACCTGAGAGGCAGAGGCTGCAGTGAGCCAAGGTCGTTCCACTGCACTCCAGCCTAGTGACAGAGCAAGACTTCATCTCAAAAAGTAAAATAAACTCTTCTCTCAAAGATGGTTGCCTCCAGGTCTGTCACCTTACCATACTTGATTAAAACAATCCCAGGTACATTTCGAAACAGAGACAGCATCTCACTTTCATTAGCAAGAACCTAAGTGTACTTAAACTCTCCAATTTGTAAAGCATCTTCATATCTATTATGATTTAATTAATCTCAACAGTCCCTTAAGGAAGTAATCCCAGTTTAGAGATAATAAACAGTAATTAGACATTTTTTGATTCAGATTCAAGCTGCCAGATGTTCACATGGGACCTATATAACGTAAAGTATTTGTCCCAGTATTGCTACAAATAGCTAAATTTAGTCCTTATATCCCAAACCAAGTTAGGAGGAAAACGCATTTTTTTCTAGACTGTGAACTTGAAAATAGCTAAACTTAATCTCTTCTTTGGTCAGAGCTTAACTAAAGATGGTTATAGTCACTGCTTTTTGGCTTGCTCAACTCCCAGAACCCTGAGTAGTAAGTATCACACAAAAGTGCACCGAAGTTCATGGGTGCACAACACCACTCATGAGCTTGGAAATACAGAACAGACCTCACCTATTCACTTCTGAGTCAAACATACAACCTCAAACTTAGTTTCCTTCTTTAAGGAGAACAGTGTAAAAAATTCCCCATGGGAGCAACAGTTTAGGCCTAAATTTGGGGTATAGTAGAATCTAACCAAGGTCTCAATACCTGTCAGAAATAAGGTATTTGCCTGCCTGTGCATACAGGTGTCCACATTTTGGGGCAATGAAAGAAAAGCATCTAGGGAAATAAAAAGAACTAGCTCAGCAATCATCAAATCCCAATACAGGGCCAGGTGTGGTGGCCCATGCCTATAATCCAAGTCTGTTTGGCGGCCGAGGTGGGAGGACTGCTTGAGAACAGCCTAGGCAACATGGCAAGACCCCATCTCTAAACAAATTAAAAATAAGCCAGGTGTAGTGGCTCATGCCTATAATCCCAGCACTTTGGGAGTCTGAGGAAACCCCATCTCTACTAAAAATACAAAAATTAGCCAGGCATGGTGGCACACGCCTGTAATCCCAGCTAACTCAGGAGGCTGAGGCAGGAGAATCACTTGAAACCAGGAGGCAGAGGTTGCAGTGAGCCAAGATCCCTGCACTCCAGCCTGGGCAACAGAGAGACTCTAATCTCAAAAACAAAGAAACAAAAATTAGCCGGGCATGGTGGTGCACATCTGTGGTCCCAGCTACTCAGAAAGTCGAGGGAGGCCCAGGGGTTTGAGGCTGCAGTGAACTATAATTGCACCACTGCACCCGAGTCTGGGTGACAAGAGTGAGATCCCATCTCCAAACAAACAAACAAACAAACAAACAAACAAAAGTCTCAATACAATGTTTCATTCTCTACCATGCCATTCAGTGAAGCCACCAAAGCTCAAACAAGCTGGGAGTGAGCGGGTAGGACAGGTTCAGCTGTAATCCAGGCTATTTATTCTCACAATTGGCAAAGGTTTCCTCTAAATATGAAGATGCTATTTGGGCTGTAAATTCTAGTTTTTCATTAAGCAAGGTTTCTTAATGCTGCTCTTTTAAAAAACATACTGAAGGCCAGGCACAGTGGCTCATGCCTGTAATCGCAGCACTTCGGAAGGCCGAGGCAGGAGGATCACCTGAGGTCAGGAGTTCGAGACCAGCCTGACCAACATGGAGAAACCCTAATCTCTACTAAAAATACAAAATTAGTTGGGTGTGGTGGCGCATGCCTGTAATCCCAGCTACTCGCGAGTATGAGGCAGGAAAATCACCTGAACTTGGGAGGCAGAGGTGGCAGTGAGCCAAGACTGCACCACGGCACTCCAGTCTGGGCAAGAAGAGCAAAACTCCGTCTCAAAAAAAAAAAAAAATACCGAAAAAGCTTTCCCAAAAAACCTAAAATCACATTCTGCCTGAGTCAGAAACCAGATATTAGGACTCTCTCAGAAGCAAGACCCTTATATCATTTCCCTATTAGCAATGCTACAACACTCGTAATTGTGTGTCACTGATAATTTTGTGTCAAAAATATCATGGCAGGTTTTGAAAAAATAAGTCCAAATATGTCTGAATATGGATTGCTACATATAAAATTTCCAGTCACTGAGAAAAACCAAGATCACACCAGATAAAAAAGATCTAATCCTCAAGAATTATGGGCTCCTCATAGAATACCCTGGTTTTCTTAATTTTAAAATTGACTGCTTATTTGCTTTCTTTTTCTCATCTACTGCAGTGGCAGACCTTGCTGACCTTTCTGAGGCAAGCTCCATTCACTTCTTTCTTTTCATTTTTTTTTTTTTGAGACAGGGTCTTACTCCAGTTGTCGGGGCTGGAGTGCAGTTATGGCAATCATGGCTCACTGCAGCCTAGACTTCCTGGGCTCAAACACCTGAGCAGCTGGGACCACAGGCATTCACCACCACACCCAGCTAATTGTTGTATTTTTTGTAGATACAGGGTTTCGCCACGCTGCCCATGCTGGTCCAACTCTTGGACTCCCAAAGTGTTGGGATTACAGGTGTGAGCATCTGCAACCGGCCTCAGGCTCCATTGCTTTCTAGAAATAATAAGACTAGAAAAATTAAGGGATAAATAAGTCTCTAATTATTCTGAACCCATAGACCAGAATGGCTGCCCTGAAGTAACCAGAGAACAAACAGACAGGAAATGAGATTAGAAACAACTAGTGGCTGTGTAGCACAATAGGTAGGAGTCCTGGTTTTAGAATTGCACTGCTTGGGGCAATTCTTGGCTACACCAATTGGTTAGCTGTGTGCCATTAGACAAGATGTTTAACCTCTATGCTTGTTTTCTCATCAGTAAAAATGGCACTAACAGTACGTAACACTTACTTCATAGGAATAGTGTGTAGATGAATTAGAGCCGGGCACAGTGGCTCACGCCTGTAATCCCAGCACTTTGGGAGGCCGAGGTGGGCAGATCACGAGGTCAGGAGTTTGAAACCAACCTGGCCAACACAGTGAAACCACATCTCTACTAAAAATACAAAAATTAGTTGGGCGTGGTGGCAGGCACCTGTAGTCCCAGCTACTTGGGAGGCTGAGGCAGGAGAATCGCTTGAACCCAGGAGGCAGAGGTTGCAGTGAGCTGAGATCGCACCACAGCACTCCAGCCTGGGCGACAGAGCGAGGATCCGTCACAAGAAAAAAAAAAAAGAAAAGAAATGAATTATTGCATTTAAAGCACTTGGATAGCAAAGCAGCCAATAAATACTTAATGGCCGGGCGTGGTGGCTCACGCCAGTAATCCCAGCACTTTGGGAGGCCGAGGTCTGGGGGTCACAAGGTCAGGAGTTCAAGACCAGCCTGAACAACACGGTGAAACTCTGTCTCTACTAAACATACAAAAATTAGCTGGGCGTGGTGACGCACGCCTGTACAGTAATCTCAGCTACTCAGGAGGCTGAGGCAGGAGAATCGCTTGAACCCAGGAGGTGGAGGTTGCAGTGAGCCGAGATCGCGCCACTGCACTCCAGCCTAGGCAACAGAGTGAGACCGTCTCAAAAAAATAAATAATAAATAAATATTATAGCAGCACTCTTTCTCTGGGAAAGAGCTCCCTCCTCCATCACAGAATCACACCGTACATTCCTTCACTGTCCTCAAAGACACACACCTTCCTCAAAGAAAAAGAAATAAATCACAAGGCCAGGTCTCCCGAACTTCCATAGATGTGTTAGGGATTCCTGACCGGAGCTAAGGCAAGGTGGTCTGTATGCTCCCCAAACCTGTCAAACGCGGGTTTCAGAATATCTGACTAACTGCAAACACAGGTCATATTTTTACAAAAGTTTAGTCCACACAACATTTTCGTTCTCAAACCTTCACTACATTCACAGATGGAGAAGCCGAGGCCCAGAGAAAAACTAGTCATCTATCTGTCCAAAGTCACCAGACGAATTCTGGGGAAAGTTCGAGGGAACCAGAGCTCCCGACCCTGCAAACCCTTGAGGGTAAATTGGGGGATAAGAGGGCCCGTGCGTGTTTGGGCCGGCTAGGTCCTGGGCCTCAGGGCAGAGAAAAGGGTCTAGTGGATCGCTTTGCCTTACCTCCTTAGGATCTCCGGAGTCGGTCAGAATCTTTCGCTCGTCCTCCAGTCCCATGTCTAGCTACGGTTCTGGATTCAACACGAGCAACAGGAGCGGCACCTAATCCACTTCAGGATCAAGAAGGACTTGTAAGGGTCACTCAGCGGATATCCGGCGACCTGGCCGGAAGTGCGGCATACTCATCGTGGTCGCGAACACATGCTCAGATTGGCATGTACTACCAGCCAGCGGCTGGGTTTAGGGGTAGCTGATGTTTGCATCTGAGGAGGCTTTGCAAAGAAACACCCCTTTAGTCAGAGAAGACCCAAGTATATAGATCTACGACTTTATCTAAAATAGTAGCTCCTAAGAGACTTGGAAGGTGTGCTTGCTTATTCAAAATTCCTTTAGCATAATTTACAGTCTTCCCCATATTGCTTATGGAGCCGTCCTAACTGCTGACCTTTTCAAGATGGCGGTCCGCGGGCGACACTCTCGGGCTCGCGCACCTCCCCAAGATGGCGGCGCCCGAGGCCTGGCGCGCCCGGAGTTGCTGGTTCTGTGAGGTAGCGGCGGCAACGACCATGGAGGCCACGTCCCGGGAGGCGGCGCCAGCGAAGAGCTCGGCCTCGGGCCCCAACGCTCCCCCCGCCCTGTTCGAGCTGTGCGGGCGGGCGGTGAGCGCCCATATGGGGGTTCTGGAGAGCGGGGTGTGGGGTAAGTCGCGGGGTGAGGGGCTACCTCTGGCTTAGAGCGAGGGCGGCCCAGCGGCCGGGGGGCGCGGGGGGCGAGGCCGGGAGGCCCGGGGCAAGGCCCAGCCTGGGGCACTGGAAGCCAGATCGTGGGATCCGAGGATGAATTTTGTGACTGACAGAGCTGGACAGAGTAAAGACGGAGACCTAATGGGCAGACTGACCCGCACCGCGGCCTGGCATGGGGGCGCGGGGGGCGAGGCCAGGAGGCCCGGTCTGGGGCGAAGCAGGCAGGGCCCGGGCGACTGAGACTGGACTGGCGGGCTGGAGCTGTGGGCAGCGAACTGACACTTGGCTGGGCCGGGCTGAGGAGTGTCGGGTGTCTAACCGGCCGGCAGCAATGGCCCGGCTGCCCTAGGGCAGGGGCCGAAGTTGTGCGGTCCGGCCTAAGGCCAGGAGGCCAGGCCCGGGACCACCGAACCTGACTGATGGCCCGGGGCCTCCAGTGTCTGCCTGACACGCCACGGGGCTCGAGACTTCGGAGGCCAAGCCGATGGGCGGAGGGGAGGACAGCGGATTGCAGAGCGAGGGAACGGGGCAGTGGGGGGAGAGGCCGAGAGGCTCGGGGCGCCGCGGCCTGTCTGATAGCCCAGGGCTGACGGGAGCGACCGGGGTCTCGGTGGCCAAACTGACTGAGCAACCGAGCGACCCGGAGGACAGGAGGCCGCTGGAGGCCCCTCGCATCGGCTCGAGCGGTGAGGAGGGGCGGCAGAGCGAGTGGAGTGGGGGCCCGGAGCGGCTCAGCAAGCGAGGGAGGCTCGAATGACTGGCAGGCGGGAAGGGCCGAGGAGGCCTCAAGCGCGGCGACTGCCCGGGGATCCCGGACTGCCGGGTGCCGTGGAAGGGGGCGCGCCGCAGCTAAGAGGCCTTGGGCTGAATGGGAGTGAACGGAGGCCCCAGGCCTGAGGGCGGCCGGGACCGAAGGGCCGGGCCTGGGTAGAGGGAGGCCTGGGGTGCCGGGATGAACGGCCGGGGAGGGCGAACCGGCCAGTTGGGCTGGGAGGCGGGGCTGTGGATTGGGGACCACCGGCCGCGGCCTGGCAGCTGACGAGGGAAACTTGGGTCCGCACCGTGGGGCGCGTGAAAGAGGGGAAAGAGGCTCTGCCAAGCAGGCCTGGCCACGCAGGGACAGGGGAGGCCTCGGGCCTGACAGGCTGGTGGTGTGAGGGTGGGGTCCGGAGGCCCGGGCTGGAGTTGGGCGAGGAGGTGGCAGGCCCGGCCGAGGCCTGCGGGGGAGGGTGGCAGGAGAGCAGGCCCCGGGCCTGGAGATGGCGCGGGGGAGGTTCCACGAGGAGGCCTTGCGGGTGGCCGTGGCGTCTTTGCAAGAGGAAGGCCCAGGTCGGGACAGGACTGAGGGCTTTGAGGGTTCGAGGTTGCAGGGCGCGGGGCTTGAGTTATACCCTGAGGAAGGGGCGTGGGGAAAAGGCCCTGGAGTTTGGCGTGCTGCAACTCTGGGATAAGCTGGAGGGTGGTCGGGGAGGCCCTTGGCTGTGGGAATGGAGCCCAGTACCCGGACGCCCGAGTGTCCTGCGTAGTGGTAGCGGGAGAGGCTGTTAGAAGTCGGGCCGGTGTGCAGACGGTACAGTGGAGGGCCGGGGACGGTGGAGGCCCCCGGCCAGCCAGCGGCCGAGAAAACAAGGGTCAGGCCGTCCCTTGGGGAGCGGGAGGAGTTTCCGTGGAGTTGAGCGGGGAGCTCAGAAAAGTCTTAGGGCATGGGGAAGAAGGCCGAGAGGGTCTGGCTTGTCCGCCTGGAGCTTCTGGGATGCTAAGACTCGCTAAAAAGGAAAGTGACTGGGCGTGGAGGCCCTAGGTTGGGAACAAGTAGCATTAAAGGTGCAGGCTGGAAATAAGCAAAGACAAGCCTAGCTTAAGAAGAATGGAGAAAGGAAGAGGGAGGTTTATGGGTAACAGGGGATGAGAATTCCTGTAACTGCGAGAAGGGATGGCTAACTAGAGGGGAGCAGGTTGGAGGGAAAAGGGGTAAGGCTCTGGAGGAATTTCTTCCTGTGTTGCCTTTTCCCGCAAAAACAATTGATGATTTACTGAATCTCCTTTGCTCTTCTCCCTCCCCCACCACTGCTGTACATACCACCTCCCCATTACTGGCTGAGTCCCCAGCCAGGTTAAGAGGAGACAGGGGAGGAAGAGCTCCTGTGGGCCTAGACCGGGTAAAGAGTCACACAGAAAAAGCTGAATCAAGTAAGGCCTCTTAGGAGAATAGCCGAGGAAGAGGCCTGCTAAGCATTGCCATTTTGGAGGAAGGTCTCAGTGTGGGCTAACAGCCAGGAAAGGCTTCCTGGAGGTAGTGGACTAGCGTCGCTTTGTTAAGGAGTCGGGGCAGTGGGGTGTATAGAGACAGCAGGAAACGGTACAATGAGGAAACTAAAGTAGAATAAGGTATATTATACCTTGAATACCAGGATGTGGAGTTTGGACTTTATCATGAATGCAGTAGAGAGACCTCCAAGGGTTTTGAAGAGGATAATGTCATCACCAAGAGCAGGGTGAAGAGGGACTGGTTAGAGACTGAGGTGAAGGAGAATTAGGCTGTTGTCATAGTCCAGATGAAAGGTGATGTAGACTACATTCGTGTGTAAAAGCATAGGGAATTAACACTTTCACTCAGCAGGTACATCAAGGACCTACTGTGTACAAAGAATTATACTAGATTTTCATATATCAAGATTCATTTATTCTAAAAGTAAAATAAAAAGAGATCCTGGAGCGAAAGTTTTGGTGTACTCCAAGATCTTAGACTTGTTCTTTTTCTTTGAGATGGGGTCTCATTCTGTCACCCAGGCTGGAGTGTAGTGGCATGATATCAGCTCACTGCCACCTCCACCTTCTGAGCTCAAGCAATTCTCCCACCTCAGCCTCCTGAGTAGCTGGGACCACAGGCAGGCACCACAACACCTGGCTAATTTTTTTTTGTAGTTTTGGTAGCGACGGGTCTTGCCATATTACCCAGGCTGGTCTCAAACTCCTGGGCTTAAGCAATCTCCCCTGCCTTGACCTCCCAAAGATTACAGGGATTCCAGGTGTGAGTTTAACCTGTTCTTGATTGAACAGAGATGGCACTGACAGGGTAAAAATAATAAAAACCAACATTTAGTGAGCTTATTATGGCCGGGCATTGTTTTAAACAGATTACAAGCATGATTTTCACAACAATGTCATGAGTTAATTACTCTTCTCTCCATTTCATATTATTTTTTTGAGACAGAGTCTTGCTCTGTCGCCCAGACTGGAGTGCAGTAGTAGAATCTCGGATCATTGCAACCTCCTGGGTTCAAGTGATTCTCATGCCTCAGCCTCCCAAGTAGCTGGTATTACAGGCGTGCGCCATGACACCCAGCTAGTTTTTGTATTTTTTTTTTTTTTTTTTTTTTGAGATGGAGTTTCACTCTTGTTACCCAGGCTGGAGTGCAATGGCGCGATCTCGGCTCACCGCAACCTCCGCCTCCTGGGTTCAGGCAATTCTCCTGCCTCAGCCTCCTGAGTAGCTGGGATTACAGGCACGCACCACCATGCCCAGCTAATGTTTTGTATTTTTAGTAGAGACGGGGTTTCACCATGTTGACCAGGATGGTCTCGATCTCTTGACCTCGTGATCCACCCGTCTCGGCCTCCCAAAGTGCTGGGATTACAGGCTTGAGCCACCGTGCCCAGCCTTAGTTTTTGTATTTTTAGTAGAGACAGGGTTTCACCATGTTGACCAAACTGGTCTCAAACTCCTGACCTCAAGTGATCTGCCTGCCTTGGCCTCCCAAAGTACTGAGATTACAGGTGTGAGCCATTGCGCCCTGCCTATTTATTTTTTGAGACACGGTCTTGCTCTGTCACCCAGGCTGGAGTGCCGTGGTCCAGGCACAGCTCACTGCAGCCCTCACTTCCTGGACTCCAGCAGTCCTCCCACTTTTGCCTCACAAATAGCTATGACCACAGGTGCACACCATCACACCCTGCTAATTTTTGTTTTGTTTTGAAATGGAGTTCTCACTCTGTCACCTGGGCTCAAGTGAAGTGGTTTGATCATAGCTTACTATAGCTCAAACTCCTAGGCTTAAGTGATCCTCTTAGCCTCCCAAAGTGCCGGGATTACAGGTGTGAGCCACTGTGCCTGGCCTCTATTTTTTCCAGTTGAAGAAACTGAGGCTTAAAGAGGCTTAAATAATTTGTCCAAGGATTCACATTTAACTAAGTAGTCAGGATTTCACCCAGATGTCCTACTCTAGAGGCCAAACCCTTTAGACATTGTACTATAGTGGCTCTTAGAACTAGAGAAAGTTTTGTTTTGTTTTTAAGGTTTTGTTTTTAAGATACATTGACTTTCTGCTGGGTGCGGTGGCTCACGCCTGTAATCCCAGCACTTTGGGAGGCCGAGGCAGGCGGATCGAGACCATCCTGGCCAACAGGGTGAAATCCCTTCTCTACTAAAAACAAAAATTAGCTAGGCGTGGTGGCCTGCGCCTGTAGTCCCAGCTACTTGGGAGGCTGAGGCAGGAGAATTTCTTGAACCCAGAAGGCGGAAATTGCAGTGAGGCGAGATTGCACCACTGCACTCCAGCCTGGTGCCTGGCGACAGAGCAAGACTCTGTCTCAAAAAAACACAAAAAAAGATATATTGACTTTAGAGACACAAATTGTTTCTATTCTTCATAGGAAAGTACTAGTTCAGGGTATAACAGTAGCCCAAAGGATGGTGGTGGTTAATCTGGGAAGGGAATTCAGGAAAGACTTAATAAAGGACATGTGATACTTGAAAGATGAGTAGTTGATATACTGAAAGTGGCAACGACATTCCTGTTAGAGAGAACAGCATGACAAAGGACATTCCTGTTGGAGAGAACAGTGTGACAAAGGTACAGGGGCAGAAAGCAGCATAATATGTTAGGTAAATGAAAAAGCAGTTAAGTGTGGCCAAAATGTAGGAGGCAAAGCAGGGAGCTGATATTAGCAAGGCAGATTATGAAAGATCTTTTATCACACTTATTCAGTAGGTCCTTTTCAATGCTGAATGCTTCATTTGCTTGGGCAGAAGTGAACTGACCAGCTCTTAAATAAGCATGTCAAGCTCATTTAGCATGTCAGCTTGTTTTGTGGGATTATTTCACCCTTACTTCTGAAATTCCAGCTTCCAACTGAGTGGCTGAAGATAAGTGGACCAGAGTTTGGAAGAGACCTAGGTTAGCTTCTAGAGGTTCCATTTGTCAAATGAGAAGTCCACCCTTCCATTTTCCTTTCCAGTAGAATAAATAATGCTTGGAACCCTCTTGGGTGGGTGGGGGAGGGGAGGGAAAGTAAACTTTTGTTTTGATTTTTGTAGCCCTCCCAGGCCCAATACTTCAAAGTATCCTACCTCTGCTCAATATATATTACTTGGAAAGAATTGAGGAAACTGCCCTCAAGAAAGGTGAGTATCTCTCTGTCTCTTTCTCAGTTAATGATTGTGAACAAGGCACCATAATGTTCTTCAGGTAAATATTATACCTAATACCTGCTAGAACTTCATGCTTTTCAAAAAGTACCCTCACACCTGTTTTTCTTCCTCATTCCTCAGTGTCCTGTGAAACACAAAGCCAAGTAGATGATCTTTATTATACTGATAAAAGTGAGACACAGGCACACCACAATTAATAACAAAGCCAGAATGAGGACCTAGATCTTCTGAATCTTAGTTTTTCTATTTTACCAAGCTTCCTCCCCTCATTAGACACAGCTGTTAACAGCTAATATTTAACCCTAATGTGCCAGGCACTGTCCTAGGCACTTTATCCAGAGAAACTCATTTACTGTAATCTTTTCAACAACCCTATGAAGTAGCTGTTATTAACTACATTTTACTGATGAGGAACCTGAACCACAGACAAATTAAGTAACTTGCCCAAAGTCACATAGCTAGAGCGTAGTTTGCTGATACTCACACCCAGGCAATAAATCTTTAGAGCCAGTGCTCTTGATCACTCTGCCATATTGCTCCTGTGAACCCAGAGGACAACATGAAAGGTTGATGTACTTTACTTATGGTAGCCAGCAAGCAGCCAAGTGTGATATTTCTCCCTACAGGCCTCTCCACTCAGGCCATCTGGCGCCGACTCTGGGATGAGCTGATGAAGACAAGGCCTTCCAGTTTGGAAGTAAGTTATCAGGTAGAACAGTAGCCTGATTTTACATGGTAAAAGCAGGAATAGCACACAAACACTAGCTGGGTACTGGGAAAGTACAGAGGCAATGATGGATTTGGGAGGAGGGCTCTGATGGCTTGTCACAAGGTTTTGGTCCATTTGGCATTTGTCACTGAATTGCTTGCTCACCATATTTGCAGGGAACACAAAACAGGGAAGGTTAGTTTTGAATGGCAGAGCCAGGATTCCTAGAGTTCTGGATGGTGTTAGCGCAATGGTCAAATCTAACAAAATGAAATTTAATAGAATATACCAATACTTCAGTGAGTTATAAAAGTACCAATTGCATGGCCTCAGGATGAGGGATAAAGGAGTCTGCTTAGTAAGAGCTTGTATAAAAAAGATTAAGGGAGTTTAGTCAACTATGTGCTGAAGCCACTCATAATGACTATACCTTTAGCTGTGTGAACTAATGTAAATATAGGTTAAAGGACAAGGGGGACAATAGTCCTGCCTAGCTCTGCAGTAGTCAGGCTACCCCTGGAGTACAGAGAAAGAAGTCAAAGCCACATTATGTGAGTCACATTTGGAAGACTGGAGATGCTTTTCCTGAAAAAGAGAAGACTTGGGAAACATGACCCATCTTGAAATATATGGCTGTCACATGAAAGAAGATTAATAGACTTGTTCTGGATGGAAGCTAATGGAAGGTACATTTTTGCTAAACTGAAGGTAAAGCTTAAACTCCGAGCCTATCAGTGATGAAGCAAGCTAATTCTAGAGGTAATAAACATCCCATCACTAAGTTCAGATGGAGTCTGGATAACTCCTTGACACAAGGGTATTTTGCAGGGAATTCAGCATTGTAAAAGGGGTTACACAAGAAGATTTTTAGGGCTCCTTTTTGCCCTGAGATTCTACTATTCACTGATTGAGATATAAATCACTGGAGCTCTCATTTAAGCAGAGTTTCTTTTGCAGATTTAATTCAGTAAACATTTACTGAAACTTAACCAGCTACCAGATCTTACACTAGATATTGGAAGTACAGATGCAGCCCCTAATCTTGAGGACCTACCAGTTTATTTATTTATTTTGAGATGGAGTTTCTCTCTTGTTGCCCAAGCTGGAGTGCAATGATGCGATCTTGGCTCACTACAACCTCCAACTCCCTGGTTCAAGTGATTCTCCTGCCTCAGCCTCCCGAGTAACTGGAATTATAGGCATGCAATACCATGCCTGGCTAATTTTTTTGTATTTTTAGTAGAGACAGAGTTTCTCCATGTTGGTCAGGCTGGTCTCCAACTCCTGACCTCAGGTGATCCTCCCACCTTGGCCTCCTAAGTGCTGCAATTACATGCGTGAGCCACCACGCCCAGCAAGGACCTACCAGTTTAATAGGGAAATCTACAAATAGCTCACATATGATAGAATAAGTGGTGTAATAGAGGATAGTAAGGAGGTTGAGAGAGAACAAGAAAGTCTTTCCTAGGAAGTAGTATTTGAACTCAGCTTTATATGTTGAATGAGGCCAAATAATGGGGGCAAAAAGCTAATATCACGAATTGGAGATTTAATTTCTGGGGATGCATTGGGTTCAGTAACATTCAGCCCCATCTCCTTCAGCTTATTTACTTCCAAATCTAGACTGCAACCCTTGGAGTTCAGAATGAGGACACCAGGCCTTATGAGGAGGGGAAGTGGACTCAAGAATATTAGAAAACAATAACTACTTTTTGTCATCTTAAAGGAAACATCAGATTCACTTTGTTCCAGTATTTAACAAGCAGTATAGTTGACCAGCAGGTGATAAAGATATTTTTCTCTTTGAGAAAGTTTTCTGGAAAAGAATGTTTATTACCCTGTCTTCTTGGCTTAGAGCACATTTAGAGGCCCCAAGCTTGGTGGCCCAACAGTCACTTAGGCAGAGGTCCTGACTTGGAGTGCATCCATTCCAGAGGGTGTGTTCCGCTTCCCACTTTAGCATGACAATAACCTTTACCTCATAAGTCAGAAACACTTATTCAGTGCCTGCTCAGTTCCATGCATTATGCTAGGTTCCAGGGATGCAATGATGAGCAAGATAGATACAGCCTCTGAATGCTTATAAAGCAATAGTATTTCAAACTGTGTAGTACTAGGGTGTATAAAGAGATCTGTAAGGACAGGCATGGTGGCTCACACCTGTAATGTTAGCACTTTGGGAGGCTAAGGCAGGCAGATCGCTTGAACCCAGGAGTTCAAGACCAGCCCAGGCAACATGGCAAGACCTTGTCTCTACTAAAAATAGAAAGAATTGACTGGGCATGGTGGCATACGCCTGTAGTCCCAGATACTCAGGAGGCTAAGGTAGGAGGATCACCTGAGCCTGGAAAGCCAAGGCTTCAGTGAGCCAAGATCACACCACTAGACTCCAGCCTGGGTGACAGGAGAGAGACCCTGTTTCAAAAAACTAACAAAAAAAGAGATCTGTATAATAGAATAGATACTCCAGAGACAAAGCAATGGAGTAATTAAGATTTACTCAATAAATGATTCTCTGCCAACTGGTTAGCCATTTGGAAAAAGTTAAGTTAGAGCCTCACTTTACAGTGTACTCTAATGACTTCTGTATAAAGAATTAGTTGTAAAAAGTAAAGGCACAAAAGTTGGGTACAGTGGCTCACATTTATAATCCCAGCTACTCCAGAGGCTGAAGTGGGAGGAATAGCTGGAGCCTAGGAGTTGGAGGCTGCAGTGAGCTATGATCACGCCACTATACTCCAGCCTGGGTGACAGCATGACACCATGTCTCTTAAAAAAAAAAAAAAAGAAAGAAGGCTGGGCATAGTTGCTCATACCTGTAATACAGGCACTTTGGAGGCCAAGGTGGGCGGATCACGTGAGGTCGGGAGTTCAAGACCAGCCTGACCAACATGGTGAAACCCCGTCTTTAAAAAAATAAAATAAAATAAAACAGAAAAGGCTGGGCACAGTGGCTCACACCTGTAATCTCAGCACTTTGGGAGGCTGAGGTGAGTGGATTGCTTGAGCTTATGAGTTTGAGACCAACCAGGGCAACATGGAGAAAACCCCATTTCTACAAAAAATACAAATATGTATCCTTGTGTGGTGGTACGCACCTGTAGTCTCAGCTAGTCAGGAGGCTTAGGTGGGAGGGAGCCCAGGAGGCAGAGGTTGCAATGAGCCAAGATCATGCCATTGCACTCCAGCCTGGGCAATAGAGCCAGATCTTGTCTCAAAAAAAGAAAAAAAATCAATTTCAACACCAGAGCACAGGAAAAAAAAAAAAAAATTAAACAGGCCAGGTATGGTGGCTCACACCTATAATCCCAGCACTTTGGGAGGCTGAGGTGGGCAGATCACTTGAGGTCAGGAGTTGAGACCAGCCTGGTTAACATGGTGAAACCCCTTAGGCCAGGCACAGTTGCTCATACCTGTAATCCCAGTACTTTGGGAGGCTGAGGTGGGCAGATCACTTGAGATTAGGAGTTGAGACCAGCCTGGCTAACATGTTGAAGCCCCATCTCTACTGAAAATCAGGTGTGGTGGTACACGCCTGTAATCCTAGCTACTCTGGGATTACTACTTGGGAGCCTGAGGCAGGAGAATTGCTTGAACCCAGGAGGCAGAGGTTGCAGTGAGCCAAAATTGCACCACTGCACTCCAGCCTGGGCAACATAGCAAGATTCCAACTCAAAAAACATAAAAATACAAAATAAAAATAAAAAACTTAGTCGGGTGTGGTGATGCAAGCCTATAATCTAAGCTCCTCAGGAAGCTGAGGCACAAGAATCACTTGAACCTGGGAGGCAGAGGTTGCAGTGAGCCTAGACCACTCCATTGCACTCCAGCCTGAGTGACAGAGTAAGACTCTGTTTCAAAAAATAATAATAATGAAACCAATAAACAAAAAAAGTGAAAGCACAAAACAGGCCGGGTATGATGGCTCATGCGTATAATCCCAGCAAAACTGGGAGGCCAAGGCAGGCAGATCGCTTGAGTCCAGGAGTCCAAGAACAGCCTGGGCAACACAGCAAAACCTTGTCTCTACAAAAAAATACAAAGATTATGTGGGTGTGCTGACATGTGTCTATAGTCCCAGCTATTCAGGAGGCTGAGGCAGGAGGATCAACTGAGAGTCAGGGGTCAAAGCTACAGTGAGCAATGATGACACTGCATTCCAGTGTCATAACCCTGTCTCAAGAAAAAGAGCACAAAACAAAAAATAATAAAAGTGACCATCCTTATCTCAGGATGGAGAGAGTGCTAATTATTATTGTTATTTTTTTTGGAGACAGAGTCTCCCTTTGTTGCCAGGCTGGAGTGCAGTGACACGATCTTGGTTCACTGCAACCTCCACCTCCTGGGTTCAAGCAATTCTCCTGCCTCAGCCTCCCAAGTAGCTGGGACTACAGGTGTGCACCACCACGCCCAGCTAATTTTGGTATTTTTAGTAGAGACAGGGTTTCACCATGTTGGCCAGGATGGTCTCGATTTCTTGACCTGGTGTCCAGCCCGCCTCAGCATCCCAAAATGCTGGGATTACAGGCATAAGCCATTGTGCCCAGCCAAGAGTACTAATTATTAAAGAACTGAGAAAAAAAATACAGACTTTTTTTTTTTGAGACAGAGTCTCCCTCTGTCGACAGGCGCCGGGCTGGAGTGCAGTGGCGCAGTCTCGGCTCACTGCAACCTCCACCTCCCGCGTTCAAGCAATTCACCTGCTTCAGCCTCCGGAGTAGCTGGGACTACGGGTGTGCGCCACCACGCCCAGCTAATTTTTTTGTATTTTTAGTAGAGACAGGGTTTCACTATGTTGGCCAGGATGGTCTCCATCTCTTGACCTCGTGATCCGCCCATCTCAGCCTCCCAAAGTGCTGGGATTACAGGCGTGAGCCACTGCGCCCAGCCAATACAGACATTTTAACCACATAAAATGCTAATACTATCTCCAGGACTTTGTATTAATTAGAAAAAAATTAAAATGCCAACACCATAACCAAATTTTA